TTTGCAATGGCGTTGGTTGAAACTCCGAATATACTTTCAGAAACTTCAAATCAAAGCAGTGAGAACAAGGGAAAACAAACATAGCTAGCCGAGATTAGATCATAAAAAATAAGTGAATTTCACAAATTGTAAGAGAAGTTGGTTGTTCGGTACCTAAATTTCAAGATGAAGCATGTAAGGGAAATCTGGATTGACTTTACTACTAATCGCATAAAACATTAGTAATCAAGATTACAAAAAGAACAATTTACGAGGAAGTATAAGGTCATTCATTTTAGTTATGATGACACTAAAGTTTGCAGCTAAGAAGAAACATGGTCAATAAATCGTTTCAAGATAGAACAAAAACTGAATTTTCCAATGCAACCTTGGAAATAGATGCTGCTTTTTTGTTTTCTCACGCAAATTATGTTCTTACTTTATTTAGAAGTAATAACAATCATATAAAGAGAAAAACAACACTCAAACATGAAGAAGCAAATGTTTTGACATACAAAAAGCAGCAAATATATAACACAAACAAACTTGAAGCGAGCGAAGAGGCATCCAATCATCACACGTATCAATCGACGAGGTTCCTCAAACTCCTTGCGGCAGTAGCTCCGTCGAGCGTAGCCACTTTGGCTCTGCCTTTGAAAAAAATTCAAGGCCGGGACATTTCATACTATGTACGTTGTTGCTATGTATCGCTTTTAAACAATGTTGAATCTGTAGAATTGGAACCTCCCAAAATCTAGTTCATAAAATAAAAACTTAAGGCTCAGTGTCTTTACATGTTATGCACCAAATGCTGTAAACATAACTATCACCGAGACTTCAGACCCTAGCACGAGTGAATTCCAGTCTGATTCAGAGACATTAGGAACTACAAATACTAAACACGAATTCCCTAACATTTTTTTGTTTTTTTTAAAAAAGAAATTCATGTTATTTTAATTAATATTTGTTATATAATATGTAATTTTAAATCAAATCAGGATAAAGTATTTTCAAATATTAATAGAGTTAGTTTTCAAAAAAAAAAAACAGTGTAAATTCCCAAATATAAATAGGGTATTTTACAAAAAAAAACCCTTATTATTTTTCAAATGTTTTCCCTTTTAGAATCAATTTCACTAAAACCCTAATTCTATTAAGGATTTTCTCCACCCAAAATGAAACCTACCTATAGGGTTTAGCTACTCATATCACACACAAACTGATAAACATATACACATATCAATCCAACTTTCCTAATCCTATAAACACGAAACACAATGTTGGGTTTTGCTTGAAGACAATTTCAAGTAAAGCAATGACAATAATGCTAATCTTCATGTTTCTTTTAATTATTTCGATACAAAAGCAGATTCTAAGCTCTTAGGCTTTGTCTTAAATCACTTATGGTATAGTAGTTTCTAGGTCTAAGTTTAAAGTTATCTTTTTTGACCCAGGATTACTGATGAAGAAAGCACTTTTTGTCACCAATAATGTAACATTCAATTTGTTTTATCTAATGAAATGAGATAAAGATGAAACAATGGAGAGTATTTCACACTTCACAGTAACCTACCTAGCTGAGTTTTTGTGGATAGGAAGTTGAATTTGCATGGTTTGTTGCATAAATCCCGAGCCCGTGGCTCAATGGCTAAAACCCATACTATCGTGTGATTGGTTTAACCTGATGGATGGGTCCCAAGAGCCGTATGAGATTATATGTTTCACCTAAAGACAAAAACGATTAAGATAAGATGATTTAACTCTCATGTTATTTCATGTTATAACTCTCAGTTTAATTATTTATGATCTGAACATAGAATTTTCAGATGCAGTAGTGGCTGATAACAAGATCTAAAAGCTGATGTATTATGATCTTGAGTTTGACGAGTGAGACTATTTAAAAACTATATGAAGATAATAATGATTAAAAATACATGAGCAGCAGATCTAAAGAAGAGATTCTGAGCATGAATAAGAACAAACTGAGAAGTACTTATTTGTGTTATAGTTTATTTTGCTTACCTGGTGTCAAAGATTGTATTAGATACTGAATTTTTAGCATAGATATGGGATGAAATAAGTACAAACAATTATGATCAGTCAATATTATATTGTAAAGCTGGAAACTTTTTTCTTTTCTTTTTCCATCTAGTACTTTAATAACATTATACATGAGTCTCAAATTTCAAGTTACTGCATCAATTTGTTATTATAAATATTAGTTTATTATCAAGTCTAGTGGTGAGGAAGAGTCCACAAAATGATCTCCTAAAATGAAGCTGTAAACTTGCCTAAATGTTCAGACTTGTGTTTTAATGCCATATGATGCTCCATGAGACACAATAATCTAGAAGGTAAGAGGAACCTTCATTTCATGAATCCTCAATTTTTATTTTAATTATTACTTCCAAAAAAAAAGCTGCCCTTTCACACGGATAATGAATTATATATATATAAACTGGTTTAAACCTTATTTCATTCTGCAACTACTTTTTTGAGAAGATTATTTATTATTATCTTAATAAGAGACTTGCCTTGCCTATTTAAGCACTCATCATAATGGTTGACAAAGATGGGCAAGCACTCAAAACTCTCTCTTTCTTCTTATTCTCTTTTGTCTCTTTCCTCTGCACGTTTTTTCAGTTTCTGTCTTAAAGAACACAACCTCAAGGAGAAGAAGAAGAAGTCAGAGTTTTTCATTTGTATTTCCATCAAAACATATTACTCTTTTAAATTGTCTTATTGTCATGTTGGCATTGTTCATTTGGGTTTCTCTGCTTCTCATAAGCTTGACACATTGGGTTTATAGCTGGAGAAACCCCAAATGCAGAGGGAAACTTCCACCTGGTTCAATGGGTTTCCCGTTACTCGGCGAGAGTATACAATTCTTCAAACCAAACACAACTTCAGACATACCTCCATTTGTCAAAGAAAGAGTCAAGAAGTGAGTGTTTTCTTCTCTAATTCAAACTAGTGTGATCAATGCTTCTTGTGTGTATTAACTATTAAAACTGTTTTGTTGATACTTGTAGGTATGGTCCAATATTCAAGACTAATCTTGTGGGGAGACCAGTTATTGTATCAACAGACGCTGATTTGAGTTACTTTGTGTTTCAACAAGAAGGTCGTTGTTTCCAGAGTTGGTATCCAGACACTTTTACAGAGATCTTTGGGAGGAAGAATGTTGGTTCATTACATGGGTTTATGTATAAGTACCTTAAAAGCATGGTCTTGACTCTCTTTGGCTATGATGGTCTCAAGAAGATGCTTCCTCAAGTCGAACTAACTGCAAACAAGAGATTAGAGCTTTGGTCAAATCAAGAATCAGTAGAACTCAAAGATGCAACCGCAAGCGTGAGTTTTAGATATAAGTCTTTTTCTTATATTAATGATGGATTGGTTCCTTGTTGCTAACACATTTTTTTTTTTTTTTATCAGATGATATTTGATCTTACCGCGAAGAAGTTGATCAGTCATGATCCAGACAAGTCATCAGAGAATCTAAGGTCTAACTTTGTTGCTTTTATTCAAGGATTGATCTCCTTCCCATTTAACATCCCAGGGACTGCTTATCACAAATGTCTAAAGGTGAATCATCATTTCCCTTTTTTTTTTTTTGAATACTAAAAGATTCTAAAAGATCTTTACCAGTGGCTCTTGGTCAATAGCAATACCAAGTACAGTCATTCTTCAAGCATTTCCATGTACTAATTCTTGAAAATTTTCTTGCAGGGTAGGGAAAAAGCAATGAAAATGTTGAAGAATATGCTTCAGGAGAGGAGGAAGAACCCGAGGAAGAACCCGAGTGATTTCTTTGATTATGTAATTGAAGAAATCAAGAAAGAAGGGACAATTCTAACAGAGGAGATTGCGCTGGATTTGATGTTTGTCTTGCTATTCGCAAGCTTCGAAACAACTTCTCTCGCTTTAACTTTAGCCATCAAGTTTCTTTCAGATGACCCTGAAGTTCTAAAGCGCTTAACGGTCAGTGAAAATGAATAGAAAAGCATAAAATCTCTTAAGCAAGAAGTGTGACCAAATCTCTTAAGCTAAACTGTGTTCCTTCTTCAATCAGGAAGAACATGAGACAATTCTGAGAAACCGAGAAGATGCTGAGTCAGGACTGACATGGGAAGAATACAAGTCAATGACTTACACATTTCAGGTTGCTTAAGAGTTCCCTTCCATATAAAGTAATGATAAATTTCAATACATAAAAACTTCTTCTAATAAGTCTCAAAATCATGCATATGCAGTTCATAAATGAAACAGCAAGACTAGCAAATATAGTTCCTGCAATCTTCAGAAAGGCATTGAGAGATATAAAATTCAAAGGTATGAATATGATAAACAAATATATATATATACTTGTTGAAAATGATTTAAGTGACTCTTTTCTTATATTATCATCATTAAGAATTTGTCAATGATACAGATTATACAATTCCAGCCGGCTGGGCGGTGATGGTCTGTCCACCAGCTGTACATTTGAATCCAGACAAGTACAAAGATCCTTTACTCTTTAACCCATCAAGATGGGAGGTAAATCTCAAACCTAACTTCTAATCCAAGTAAAACTGATCAGACAATAAAACTAAACATTTGGATTTTCAATAACAGGAATCAAAAGCTAGCAATGCATCAAAGCATTTCATGGCGTTTGGTGGTGGTATGAGGTTTTGTGTTGGAACTGACTTCACCAAATTGCAAATGGCTGTGTTTATTCATAGCTTGGTAACAAAATACAGGTTTGGAAAGAAACTTTCTTCTAAGTCCATTCTTTTCTTAGTGTGTTAGATTCAATAAGGGCTGATTTGATTGTGTCTCTTGATCAGGTGGGAGGAGATTAAAGGAGGAAATATACTACGAACTCCCGGATTACAGTTTCCCAATGGTTACCATGTTAGACTCCATCAAAAAGAGACTAAAGACATGTTATAAGTTAAATAAAGTTGATAGGATTATATTAAAGGATTTTACATTTTTCCGAAGATCGGATTCATCTTGAACACCCTAAGTTAAACAGGGGAAGATGATGAGGCTCTGCGTCGAATCCATGTGTCTTGGGTTAAGACTGAGAATTCTCAGCTACAAAGGCTAAGCACACAATTTTGTTTGTCAAGAAAGAGCTTCTGTGTCTGGTCAGTGACTGTAATGTATAGTATACAGAAATGTAAAAGTATACAAGTGAATCTACTTAACTCCTGAGATGCATCAGGAGATTTTTTCACTGATTGGTGATCAAATCCTATCTTTTTATCTAACGAATCATTGATTTCATAGTTCTCCAATCTACAAAACTATGCCAATTCTACTCCAAGGGAAGCTCAATTCGTATAGTTTGGTCTAAACTGAAACATTTGGATTAAGATGAAGGTACTGTTTTCGCGGATGATTTCTACGCAAAATCGTAAAAGTTTCTCCGATACGATCGGTGATTCAAATGCGAGTTAATAATCCTCCATGCATAGAGTGCAGTTCAAAAGAGAATCCAGTTACATTTTAAACACAAAAGGAGAGAATATATGTCAGAAAGAAAGCGACACAATAAGAACAGTAAAAAAAAATGAATGAAGATGTTTTTACAGTAATGATGATTGAAAATCAACAAGACCACTTGGAGGTAGGGTAACAGTCTAGGTAATGGCACCATTCGCAATGTTTGTTACCATTCTCTCCTTTGAACAGCATCACAGTCCCAACTGTTAAACCTGCGACGACCAAAACAGCACCAATAAAGAACAACACGTACTGGCACGGGTTATACTTTGGTCTAGGGCGGGCACCATAAGGAGCAGAGTTGCGGTACTCTTCCCACGCATTTTGAGGCTGGATCAGTAGTACAAACCCGAGGAGAAATCCGGTCAAGAACCCACCAATGTGAGAAAAGTTGTCAACCCAAGGAAGCAAGCCTATTGCCAAATCGATTGCGACGATGAACAAGATCGTGAACAATGCAGCCAGCTGGAAAATTCAGACACTCGTCAAGGCAATCCAAAAGATGTTTCTTGAGAAAGAACGGAACATACAGTACCTTGTTGGCGTAGATAGTCCAGTTGATGAGAAGCTCGGATGACATTGCTCCAAGGAGTCCAAGAAGAGCGCCCGACGCACCAACAGAGACGCTATTTTGAAGGAAGAGGGCAGAGAGAATGTTCCCACCGAACCCCGATATTAAGTAGATGAGCCCAACTCTTACTGCAGAATTGTTTTACAAGACATTTTAAATATATGAATAGAGCAGGACAATGACGAAGTCTCGCGGGAAAAAGAGCGGTAAGAGTAAAGACTTACGGAAGCCAAACTGCTGCTCAAGGCGGATACCGATGACGATCACATTGAACATATTGACAAGAAGGTGGATGATACCGGCATGTAGCCACATAGATGTGACAAGCCTCCATTTTTCATTGTCTTGCACGACTTTCCTCCATTGCAAAGCTCCCACTTTCTCCAATCTGAAACCACAATCGGGGTTTGAATCATCACCAATCAGAAATAGCATGGAATCACTGCAGAGCTTAAATCCAACCATGTCCTCAAAGGTACAAGTAAGATTTTGTCTTCACAGTTTGTTTGACACAAATCTTGCGGTTTCGAGAACAGAGCACAAGACTAAATCACGAAGTCAATGAGCTTTATCTCAGAGTTTTTCTCGAATTCAACGTGACATGAACAGATTAATCAAAAAAATCACAGAGGAGCCATGAGGTTTGTAAATCAAACATAAAATGGAGAATTTTGAGATACCCACCACAAGTTTTGAACATGACTTCTAAGGTGTTAAAGGGTCAGATTATAGACCAAAACTAATCGTAAATTTGAAAGTAATGATGAAGAAAGGATACTTTTGAAATACCCCACAAGCCTGAACATGATTTGTAAACCAGTAAAGGATCAGAGTGATCAAAATATTCAAAACTTGGAGAGAAAAATTTAGACTTTGGAGTTTGGAATACCGAGAATATTAACAGACAAAAAAGTTAAATGAATATTGGATTTCAAGCTCTTACGTTGAAGAAGATGGGCCCAAGAAAGGGTTCTCTCTGAGTGGCTGGAACGAGAACCTGCGGAGAAACTTTGCCACACAACCTCCTTTGGCCGTCTTGGGGCAGTCGTTGATGAACAAGACCACGATGAAGATGGCGACATTCACCACGACGATTACCGGAACCAGCCACGATGTCCACTGG